CAAACAGAGTAATAAAATTATTAAATTACAAAGTAAAATGATTTAATTTTGTAGTTGAAACCTATCATATCAAACTTCATTCGTTAATAAATATTTTGAAAACATTAGAAATTAATGATTTTAATTGTCTTTATGGAGACGATGTAATAACTAACTGTTTAATTGATAAATTAGAATTTTTTTTTCAATTTTTGAGAGTAATATCTTCAACTAGATACGAATTGTAGTAATTTGACGTATTGTTGAAAAAAGTAGGTCAAGTTAGAGCAGAGAAAATAAATGATAGTCACAAAAAAATATCTTCTCGGCTTTGCATCGAAGCGAAAACTTAAAATATAGTAAAATAATTTTAATACGAATAAGAAATTTCTTCTTGCAAGGGGCGACTAAAGTGATGGGATCCTTGATCTTTATTGAAGTTATTGAATCTAAATGTGATAAAAATCAAACGAGTTAAAATTTATACTAACTTAAAAAGAATTAAGAAAAAATGCAAAAAATTCATTGCCATATGCGGGTTGGAACCTCGTACCCCAAGCGTGTAAAACATAAATTTTACCAACTCGGCAACCGTACGTTGCTTCCGGCGGTTGAAAAATTGGCTATTTAAGCTAGTTCAAATTTCAAAGTTATTTTTCTCGACTTAAAAGAAACAAACATATTTAAATAAGTTTAACTATCTATACTATATCAATTTTAATTTATATAATATTTATGAAAATCTGTACTCCCCTTGTCAGGTATTTTAAAATAAAATAAAATACAAAACCCAGAATTTTAACACAAAAATAGCATATTTTTGCATACGGTAGTCATTTTTACCATGAAGACAAATCCAGAGGTCAAATTTTTTTTTTTCACATTAAAGTATATTACATAAGCTTTAATTTAAGATATATTTAAAAGTGTCAGTATTTCCGGAATACTTTCAAAAATTAAATTGAAAATATCGTAGTAACAATACGCATGTTTAAAGTTTTGACCCCCCTTGTTAAAGGGGTATGATCCGATTTACAAAAAAAGCGTGCCAGATGAAAGGGGTATATAAATATTTATTATAAAAAAATAATAATATTGATCCATACATTTTTCCAAAAGTTATATAAAATATAAATTAAATAATATAACATATAAAATCGAGATTTTTTTCACGGAAATCGTACGTTTTTCTTTAACTTTGATGTCCGTTTTCACCACGAAGACAAGTCCAGAGGTCAAATTTTTTTTTTTCAAATTAAAGTATATTACATAAGCTTTAATTTAAGATATATATAAAAGTGTCAGTCTTTCCGGAACATTTTCAAAAGTTAAGTTGAAAAAGTTCTACTTTCTATACGCATTTTAAAAGGTTTGCACCCCCCCTGTATAAAGGGAAATGGTCCGATTTTAAAAAAAAGTATGTCGAATGAAAGAAGTATATATAAAGTATTTATCATTAAAGAATAAAGTTGTTTCATGCATTTTTTAAAAAGTTATAGCAACATAATATAAAAAATGTAAAATATAAAATCGAGAATTTTTTCACGGAAATCGTACGTTTTTCTTTAACTTTGATGTCCGTTTTCACCATGAAGACAAGTCCAGAGGTCAAATTTTTTTTTTTCAAATTAAAGTATATTACAT